TGTGCTTCTTCTCTGTGGACTTTGTTGTTTCTGAGCTAGATGGCCGCTTGTTTGCCTACAAGCCTTTAAGGATCCAATGATTTTTATGCAAAGGATAGAGAGAACATATTAAATACTACTACTTAAAAGATAAAGTGAATAGCTTGACCAAATCTTTATTTCCATATCCAAAGTTTCATTTTCCCAATGTCTTGAAACAGGTATCTTTGTAATTGGTTTTCTTCTGAACACCTCTTTTTTTTTTTTCAAGCTTAAAATATAAGGGCATTTCAAAAAGTTTGTCGAAAGATTTCATTATCTCTTAATTCCATTTCCTACGTGCTATCTAAAGCTCTCATATGAATGAATGCTTGAGTGACAATTGTTCTTTCTAAACGAATCTGTCCTGTGCAAAGAAGCTAAGCACATTGAAAGTCTTTATAAAGGAGTCGTGTTCATTTGCTTCTCATACAGCATGGAAACACCTGACAGAGAAGCATGCTATTCTTTCGCTTATGAGAACATAAGACTTGTTTTAAAAGACACCCACACCCACACATACACAGCAGTGACACTAAGAAGGTGCAATTAGGAGGCCACCTGTACCTTGGATTCAGACTGTTTTGATTCACTATTAGGGTTTTTCACCTGAAGGGGATATTCCTCTATTACTATAGTCACGCCAGCCAGCGCTGGAGAATCGAGGAGCACAAATCCATTACCAGACCACCTGTTCCTTCCTGAACTTGGCATTGAGAAATGAGCACTAATATAATCATATAGACCAAGTCTGGCTGGGTTTTTTTTCTCTTGATTATACTGACGGTTACATTTATGATTGTGATGAAGGCTGGCCTTATTACATCAACCAAAGTAAAGGAAGTCTGAAACCAGATTAAAGTGATCTGATAATCAAATTCCATTTCTGTTATTGACACAAGTGTCCCCATCATTATCTATATTTTATTTAAATACCTAAGTTTTAAGAAATTATTGTGTAAGTCCTTTAAAGGCAATATGTCCCTGTGCAATGCAGCTACTTATATTTTGGTTCACATGACAACCACCCAGTATGAGACAGTTCTTTATAGATGGCCACTAGCTATCATGTCAGAAACAATGTCCTTGAGGCATTTACATGGAACAAGGGGAAAGTCATTTGTGAATTTCTTTTACATATGAAAAACCTTCGAATATTGATAGTCATTGATAAAGGCAGAACACTCACTGTCTAAATACTGCAGACTCAGTTTATGATAATATGATTAGTTAGACTAATAATGCTGCTTAGGCACAGTCTTCCTAATTACAATATTATAAATATTCATGGCACCCAGCCTTTCTGTTTGATTGCCACTCGTGGAGTCATCCATCATATCTTCCTGGAACTGCACGGAAAGATTTTATGTCTTTCCCCTTTTGTTTTTCATTACTGGACCTGCAATCATACACATTATTCTCCAAGAAGCCTTTACACTGTTGGTACAGGGACAGTGATATTTTCCACTAGAAGCAGCCCAACGAAAGTCAGATCTATGATGTTTCTCTGGTTCTTTCAGAGTCTCTAACCCAGCCGTGCAAGAAAGAAGAGCCAGGGTTTTGTTTCCTATTCTTTTTCATGTGACCTGTTTCAAGTTAAGATTCATTTGAATTATTAAATGCTTCCTTTAAAGAGTCTTTTTATACTGGCATCCTTTTTTTTAAGTTAATTATTGATGTGGTGACAAGGCGAAAGGACTAAGAATTGTAATTTTTTCTTCCCCTCACTCAGGATGCAGAAATGTCTTCTGAAAATGGTTGTCTATTTGGAATAATACAAAAAAGAAACAAAGGCAAATGCTGAATGTTGTTTTAGTGAGGAGTTGCTCACCTCACTGTATTCTGCAAAACGTAAGTGCAGTATATGTTTCCCTGGAAATAGCAGTGAGTAAGAAAGCTGGCACATGACCTCATGAGCCCAGGTTTAACCACATAGCAGGAGCAGCTACAAAAGGCACTGATGGGAATTTAATTTTAAAAACATCATCATCTTATTCAGGACTCTGGTGATTTGATTGTCTTGAAAAGAGAAAGGTAATGTTACAATTTCCAGGGCTTGTTAGAGAATAAAGAATCGCCAGCCTCCCAGTGAGAAGAATGACACACCATCGCCACAGTAAGCAAGCATCTGAAGACACTGTACAGCACACCCTTCTTTTCTTTTGCTTTTTCATGACCTTGTGTTATACAGGTTTATAAAGATGTAACAGACCCAACATATAGCCGTAATCAAGGCTTCTTCAGTATGATTCTGCAGTAGAAATCACACCCAACGGCACCGTGCTTCCCCCGTTAGTAAGCATTGTGCGAAGCAAACAGTACCTGGAGTGATACCTGAGGGAGCTACCGTTCTCAGGGATTACCCAGGAGAGGCAAGCACATACCTTTCCAGTGAGTTCAGCGATGTGTGGAACAGGTTTCCCTTTCTGGTGACGCACCGTAGACGGACTCTGCCCATCCCAGTCCTGCAGCTCTTCCATGCTTTTCAGATAGAGCAGGGCTCTGAGGCCAGTGCAGTAGTCTTTGATGACAGTGAAATCCTGGTTCTGAACAGCACTGCATACCTAGAAAAGATGGAGCAACCAAGCAAATAAAAGTTCAATAGGAGATTTCCCTATTGTCTTCTCTTATCCTTTATTTAATAAGTATTTATTTTAGGAACCAGATGCTGTTCTTGACCAACCCATGCCTGAAGGAAAGGGGGCTGGATGAAGGGGTACAGGAAAACTTTGAAGGGCAGTGGGCCTTTTTATTAATTTGGTGTACTAATGATCTCACGGAAAGATAAGAGCTTTTACTTTTGTCAGGAGTTATTATTTCAGAAATTCACAGGGTCAGTTCATCCTGTCCTACAGGGTCACTAAGAATCAGAATCCACTCAATGGCAGTGAGAGATGGCCTTAAAGCTGCATCTTGTCCTGGTGATCAGGTGCTTTGGGCCAGCTCCACCTCACGGTGGCTATGTGCACAACAGGAAGGGAATAGTGCCCAGTCCTATACCACACTTGCAGCTGTCATGTCATCCCCTACATCAATCTGTTTCAGTGAGGGTCTTTCTCGTTTTCACTGAGCTCTGCATTTCAAACTATGACATATCCAAATTTGTTGTTCTTCTGGTAGTCCATAATACTTTCCACATTATTTCTCAATGCTATAATTCAAATGCATCAATTCTTCCCTAGTCTTCCTTAATTCATGGTCCAGGTATGAGGTGCATAAAAGGCCATTGAAAATAGCTTGACATGGGTCAGGCACATCAACAGTCTTCAAGTGACATCTTTACTCTTTAACAGTTTAAAGAGATCTTGTGCAGAAGGGTTTCCAAATGCAATGTGCCAGTTCATTTTTTGCCTGCTGATACCATGAGTGTGGTTTGGGGATCACAGTAAAATGAAATCTTTGACATTTTTCATATTTTCTTTGTTTATCGAGATTGTGTCTTTTAGCTCAGATGTGGGGATTTGTGTTTTCTTCACATTAACTTGTAATCTATACTGAAGGCTATAGTCTTTGACCTTCATCGGGTAAGTGCTTCTAATTCTCTTAGCTAGAAGCTAGTAAAGTCACAGCATCTGCATATTAAGGGTTGCTAATGAGCTTTCTTCACTTGTCTGTCAGTTTGGGGTACTGGAGTGACGTGTATGTTGCTGTGATGCTGGAAGTTTATGTCCCTTATATTCCAAATCATAGCAGGTTACTCAGGGTGACAGGTTTCAGCAGAGATTCCAGATTAAGAACAGACTAGAAGAATGAATAGGTGGCCTGCTTCTGATGGAGTAGCCATTAAAAATTTATGAATACCTGTGGAACATTGCCATGTATGGACATATATGTTAAACATATTGTATTGTACAATTAAAATATGCTCAGTTTATTGTATGCAACTTATACCTCAACTTTATTTTGAAAAAGTAGAGCTAGGTGGATTTGTAAGGTAGAATTGGGATCATGATCCAACTAGACCGACGGTACAGATAGGAGCTGGAAACACAGGGAATCCAGGACAGATGATCCCTTTAGGACCAGTGGAGGAAAGATGGGGTATGAAGGGGGAACCATTTATAAGGATCTATATATAACCTCCTCCCTGGGAGACGGACAACAGAAAGTGGGTGAACGAAGGGAGACATCGGACAGTGTAAGATATGACAAAATAATAATAATTTAGAAAGCATCAGGATTCATGAGGAGGGGGGGGATGAGGAGCTGATACCAAGGGCTTAAGTAGAAAGCAAATGTTTTGAGAATGATGATGGCAACAAATGTACAAATGTGCTTGACCTACAATGGATGGATGTGTGGATTGTGATAAGAGTTGTATGAACCCCCAATAAAATGATTTTTAAAAGAGAAAGAGAGAAAAATAGATCTAATCGGTTCTGTTGCCAAGGAATTATCTTCGGTAGAGCATGCAACCAGGGCATTTTAATGCTTTCTTTTCTCTGTTGGAATGTACTGCCTGGAGCAAGTTCTGGGCTTTGGAGGCAGCCAAGGAGTTTTTATTCCGTTAACTCCAACATCATTTACCACTACCTGTCACATCAACCTCATCTGCCATCTCTTTCCTTTTTTTTCACGCTGCTCTATCACCCAGGTCTTTCCTCTGAGCCTCAAGTTTGACCCAGGTTTCCTTGTCTTCGGGTCTTTGCACGTGTTTCCTTTTTACTGGTGAGGCCATTCTTGTACACATGCGTAACTGCTACCATTCTGTCTGGCAGTCTTCTTACACACCATCCCTTCAGGAAGGTCTGCTGGAATCACTAGCCAGAGAGGCTGCTTCTACACACGTTGCTAGGCGCCACGGAGTTGGTGCCCATGCGTATGCCCCTCTGCACAACAGAAGGAAACACTCCTGGTCCCGAGTCATCGCACCATGGTCCCTGTGCCTGAGCCCAGGGTTGCAGTCGCTGTGTCCATCCACCGCATTGAGGGCCTGCCTCTCTTTTGCTGACCCTTTTCACACATACTATATTTTATTTCTAGCTACTGTTTGATGTTTAATTGACTGGCTTACCTCCTTTAGCCTGAGGTTTTAGAAGGTATACAGCTAGGTTTATTACACCAAGCTGGCCAATGGGAACATGTGGGATTAATCAGTTTGCAGTTTGATTGGAGGGCAAAGAGATAGATGGCTCTGTAAGGCCCGCTCTTTCTCTCTGGTGATCAGACCAGTGTGCTGCTACTGCTTTAGCTAGTTGTCTGCCTCAACCTGTGTGCTACACCACCTGACCTTGAGGCTCCTCAGAGACCTGCTTTGCCCCCATGCTGCTGCAAATACCACTTGAGCTTACGGCTGGTGGATACCGTTGCTTTGCACTGCTAGAGTTCGAATCTCATCTGGGCCTGCTTCCCTAAGCTCTGGACCCACTGACTGTTGCTAACCCCACTCTGCTGTTTGCTGCCTGCAGGCAGACTCTGCCTGCCTTGCCTGGGGGGACTCTGCTGTCTGCTTAATTGACCTTGGACCTGCAGCCCTCAGGAGGTGAAGGACTTCCAGTATATTACAAAGTGTACCATGAAAATGAGTTGAACTGAGCCCTCTGTACTAATGTGTGGACTAATTAGCTGTTATATCCCTTCTCACTGTATAAACCTCGGCATGTATATATATATATAATCACAAGTGTCCTAGTTTTGTTTCTCTAGAGAACTCTGCCTAACAGAGGAGGATAGAACCCATATTTATCATGATCACACATTATTTCCAATGACTAGCACTATGTTTGTCATGGACTCCGTCCTTAATAAATATTGTAGAATGAATGGATAATTCAAACATGCTTCAGAAGATACTTATTTTTAATTAGATGAGCCCTTATCAGAACATAGTTTTAGAAAATTAACTTGAAATTTTAGGAGTCTTCCAATAAAAATATACTTTGAATTAGGTCATAGTTCAGCCTTTTGTGAGAACTTAAATTATGTAGATTTAGCTAAGCACTTCTTTGTTGGTTACTTTTAAACACACGTGTCCAGTTCTGACGCCAGACGCAGACTGCAGAGCGACATGTACAACTGCTAGCAGGATGTCTTCCCCTCGATGGCCCAACATCACTTAAAATTCAAAAGTTACAATATGGAATTCAGCATCCCTCCCATCTACTTTTAAAATTAATTGGAAGAAGAAACAAACCAAAGAGATAAACCAAGCCAAAGCAAAACTAATTTCTATCGTGTTTTTCTAGCTGTTGAATATCTAGCATATATCAGAATGTCAGACAATAATGGCAGCCAATAATTGAAAAAAAAGTCACAGATGAATGAAAATAAAGGAACTGCCTCAAAATAGGAGAATGTATCAAACATGATTTCCAGATCTCCCAAGATCATTGGAGCATGTACATTTTGTTGTAATTTTCATATCTACCATAGTATTTGATATCTACTTGGCACTTAATATGCATTGGTTGAGAGAATTTATTGAAAATATACTAAAAGGTTACTGACTAGAAAAAAGTAGCTTGATAGAGAAAGATAATCAGAACTGAAGAAATATATATATTTAGGATTTTGCAGTAAGAAGTGATGGTAGCTCCAACAGTAAATGGTCTCGTGAGCTGTGTGCATAAAAGTAGCCCAAGTATGGAGTTCTGGAGCAAACAGCCTTCAAAGGGAGGCCTAACGTCTAGAGACACTAAGTCAATGAAAACCAAGTGGCTATCAAGGAAGACATGAAATATTAAAGAAAAATCAGAGGCATCACGGTTGAAACGTGACTACTGGACTTAACAACAAGTAGATTGGTTGATGTTTACATTTACAGAGGAGAAGCTCTGCATTAAGGCAAAGCCATTTTTTGGTAAATGATGATCCGAAGTCAGATTGACAGTTCTTGCAGGAAGTTTTGCTCCAGGTGTAGGAAGAGGAAACCTTGTATAGGAACAAGGAGTTTTTATAATTCATTTTATTTAATTTGTTTTGTGGTAAAGAATTAAATCAATAAAACGAGTTTAACCTTTTTAAGGGTAAAATTCAGTTTCATTATCAATAAACAAAATGTTACACAATGAACACATTATGTTTGTTAAACTCTTTTAATCATGCCAAACAGACTCGCTGTCTGCATTCATTAAGTAAAATTACCCATATGCCCCTCCCCTTCAGTCTATGTAATAACTACTTTTGTCTCCATGCATTTGTCTATTGCATTTATTTCATATCGCGGGATTATACAACATGCTTCTGGCTTATTTAGTTCAGCATAACATTTTCAAGGTTGCTCCTTATTATAGCTTATATCAATACTGCCTTTCCTTTGCTGCTAAATAATATTCCAATTCCATTGCATACATATGTCGTCGTTTGTTTATCCATGCTCACGGTAATGGATCTTGAGATTGCTCCTACATTTTGCTTTTGTGAAAAACGTGCCAATGAACACCTGTGTACTAGTTTTATTCTTCTGAAGGATCGAAGTGGTTCCTTGTAGAGAGATGTGGTCATCTTACATTTTGGAATAAAGCAAAATGATTCCTTAA